TGGTTTGAGTTGCAGAGTGTTGGCCAGCCATAGAGATGTCTGCCTCCTCTCCAATATAATGGAACTAGTGGGCACTCAGCTTGTGGTGCTCAAAGCGCCAATTAAATACAATTGGAAAACTCAACAGCAATGTCTCTTTCCAGACATCATGACCCAGTTAATCATGATAACCCACAGACCTTGTTGTTAGCAGCCTGATAGACCTTTTTTCTTTCTACCAAACTACACCTGCCAACCACATCACCATGCAGAAGAAAGCATGCATCTTATGCTAGCTTACCCAGCACCACTGAGCTAGCGAAAGTAGCAGCCAGGGTCTGAAATTAACACTGTCCAAGCACTAAATGTGGGTAGATTTACCATCTGATGAGCACTATCCATCGCACTGGTGGGAGAAGTTCTGTAATAGGGAAGTGAATGATTAACCGTTAATAGGTTAGCGGCTGAGAACATTTTTGACCAGTTACACATGTCGGTCTGTAGGTTCTACTCTTCAGTTTACTGCACTACTCAACACTTGACTCTGGTAGGACCGAGGTGCTGCTCAGTGGGCCATTACCGCTAGTAATGCTGTACTAACCTGACAGTGTTGCCGTGGAAACATTGTGCCCACCCTCCCATTTTACCCAAGGTTGATGCAGCTCAATTTTGAGCCATAAAAAACCCTCTGAAGCATTGTAAGCTGTTAGGTCTGTTGACACCATTAGCAGTGTCAGCACGGCTAGTGATGCTAACATAGCAAACAATGCTAAAAGTGTTTTGCGGCTCAAAATGAAGCTGCTTACCCTCGGAGGCTAGCTTAGGGTCGACCAGAGGGTGGAAAAAAATGTTTTCCGGAGCAACGCATTGCACAACCAGACAGTATTACCAGCTGTAATTGCTAAATGAGTGGCGCCACCAGCTACTTAATGTTAGCTCCCACCCGACCCAGGTGGTGTGAAGTGCAGAGCAGCCAAGGAACCAGTGCAGACTGGAGGCTGGGTGGTGTGCATGTTCACACATGATAATGCAGCTGGCCGGCTGTCTGATAGCAAAGCCAACAGAAAATAAAATAAAAGGCAAGACATGTACATCACAAAACTGAAATTTCATCAATTCTGAAAGGACGGTGCTTTAAAATGCAGCGCTGAAGTTCACTGAGGCAATGAAGTGTCAGACCAAAAGGAAGGGCCTCTTGTATTTTCCGTCTTTTTCTTTTCTTAAACATTAACTGGTTAGTTACTGGTTAATGTGGGTGAACCAAAATAAACCAAAATTTACATCCTAGTTTGTACCAAAAAAAAAAAAAAATCTATGCTGAGAGTCTCTACCATGTTTTGATGTTATTTTCGGGGGCACTGCTCTACTGCTCCTGTGTTGTTAGTGTTGGAGACACACACACACATACACATGGATGTGTTTTTACACAGGCTGAAAAACTAACAATCTCAAGTGCTTCTAGTTTTGTGGCACTACAGGGCATTAGCTACTCTGCTAAACTATCACATGAAGGTAATATTATAACGCAGAGGCTCTGTAGTCTGAACCAAGATCAAAACTCTTTATTGCCTTCCACACTATCAACAACAGCATATAACAGCTTCACACCTTCCTTTTTTTTACCTTTCACAATAAAAGCCTTGAACTTCTAATTTGCATCCCTGCTTTCCAGAGAGACCTCTGGCTTTAACTTTTGCTCTCACCTCTTTTCAAAGTTTGAATTTAACATTATACCTTATTAGATCAATAAATGCACTGAAATAAATGTATCAGTGACACAAAAAGGCAATTTAATATTTTGGCCTGTGTAGCTACACTGGTCCAATGAAATAATGGCCTGCTTCATACAGATGTCTTTTAAAAGAACATTTTTGTTCTCTTTCTCTGTTTTTTTCAGACACTGTGAAAACTACAACAAAATAAAAGATATAAAAAGTCTCTCAAGGTAGTGCCCACTGATAGCAGTCCAAAACACAACAGAAATGTGCTGATATAAAATATAAATACAATTTTTAGCCAAACATTTTTTTAAGTACCTTTAAGACCCATTTTTTTTTATCAAACGTTTTATCATTTTAACACCTTATTTATTACATTTTTAATCACTTTTTAACAACTTTATGAACTTGAATGATTATAAAGTTATAACTGAAACAAACACAATAAACACATCAATGAAACTCTCTCTGAGACAGTAAAAACATGCCTGGCCAGTAGATTTTCATCTACTAGTCCCCTTGGCCAATGAGTCAAAAACCTGATTTCAGACACTGGTTACAGTGTGTGGTGATACAGCTGGAAGGTTTCATTTGGTGAAAATGTAGTAATTCCCACATGAAACTGCTCACAACAAAATCTGTGGATTATCCTGAGTAAGCAGGTCATGATTTCTGGAAAGAGACATTGCCGTTGAGTTTTTCAAATGTATTTTTTGGCAAGTGCCATTAAGTTCCATTATATTTGAAAGAAGGCAGACATCTCTACGTCTGATATCTCTAACACTCAGCAATTCACACTGAAACAATCTAGATTGATAAACAGAACTACAGGTAAGAGGAAAAATATGTATCTTTTATCTTGGTGTGAACTGTCCCTTTAATGTTCCCATAATGCTTTTTATTCAGAATTATATAACAGTAATCTCGTAAGGCCATATTTTCCCAAAGATGTCACGGATGTAGATTATAATTTCTTATACTAATGGTTTCCTGGGAAAAAAAACAAAAACGTATCAATATTTTTTCAGCAATCTTACGAGGCGGCATATATCCTCTTATTTCCCCTTTACTGCCCCCTCTCACCCCCTCCTACTTCTTTACTCCACCCATACCCTAGAGGCCATTTACTATGATTACCAATAACAATAACACTCCCATTATCTTTTATTTTCCCAAGGCCCTGCCAGCTCTCACAGACTTTGATAAAGCTACAAAACGGCTCCTGTTTCCAGCTTGTATATGGGCTGCCTTGGCTTACAATTCCCTTAATGGTCACAGTTTGTTTGGGTATCTGACTTGAATCGACATAAACGGCAATGGTCCACTAAATAGATAGTTATAGAGTTAAGCCACCTGAGACTATTTTACTGCGGAGGGCTGCTGGTAGGTTTCCAGCTTGGTATTTAATATGATCCTTGTGTCACTTTACTCTTAATGGTTTTGATTTAAAGTGAACAGAGGAGGGGGGGCAGTGCACAGATAAACATAATTAAACCTTCATTTGAAAGTGTATATTGGTGGGTAACGCTACATTTCCACATTTCACTTTCATTACAGGCAAACAAATTCCAGTCATTTAACAGCTTCTGTCTCAAGACACAAAGAATTCACTGAAGCATTAACAGTTTTTAGACAACATGTACCTATCTACTGTAGATCTATCTGAACTGTACTCTGATTTCTAAGCATATACAAAACGCGCCTTGATTAGTCTCAGAAGAGAAATGTTCTATTCCAACATTCAAACACGATAAACTGGATGAGTACACTACTTTGAGAATATAGCTCTGTGATAACAAGTAGTTGTTAGCAAAACAATAACACAGATTGCTTAGACAGACCACAGGAAGTGCAATAAATGTCAAACAATTCCAAAAATGCAACTGATTCATGGGGTGTTTTCAGTCAATGCTACACGCACACGTGTTTTCCTTCTGACAGTGTTGATGACTGTACATTCCAGAGGAGCCGTGCTGGTCTTGTCAGGAGCCGGACCGACCTTGTTTCACCTCCCAGTAGCATGACTCAGCCCTAAACCTTGAATCTCTCCTCCTGGGGTCCCTTGTTTATTATGTCACAAAAGACCAGTCACACTCCCGTAATGGCGGCTCGCCCCAGAGAAAGTCAGAATCCAGCTGTAGCCGAGCCCCCCCTCATCCCTCTCGTAAATGAGCATGTCCAATCTACCCACTGTGTTTCATTAAAACCAGACTACATCAATCGGGGCCTGAACTTTAAAGGCCAGGTCCCCTCTCCAGCAACATGGGAGAAAAACACGAAGCTGTTAAAGTAAAGGACCTCACACTGCACATACACTCACAGCGCTCATACACTTAACACCACATTTCTGCTGGCGGACCACACATCGCAACGTCAGTCCGAGACCACACAGTAGGTCTCGTAAGGCCGACAAAAGACCTTGTAAGACCTCACACCGGGCCCTAGCATGATTGGACAGGACCTCAGAGAATCTCACACCTGTAACTCCACAAACCACAAAGTAACTCTACTGAAAAGCTACTGTAGTCCCCGCACAGCCATTAGAAACCTGGAAACTGTTTAGACCTGTGACTGTTTGGACATTTTTTTACTTGACAAAATTAAGTGCAAAGGAAGTGTAAGATCCGCTTTAACCCGAGGCTATTTTCCCAATGGTGAGAGAAGTCTAAAAGAAGAGCCAAGAATACATAGCAGGAAGCTCAGGGGGGATGCCAGATGGACAGACGGCAGGATGGATGGGTAGATAAATGAGTGGAGGCCGTGCAACAAGAGGGGAGACTGGGAAGGAGTCCCATGGGTGGGGACGGGAAGGCAGCCTCGTGATGGAAAGCTTTCAAACTCCTTTCATCGGCTGCCTGAGGACTGGAGCTTTACAAGAGCAAGATGAGCCGGCGCCACTGGAGCTGCTTGGCGCTCTTCAACGAAACCCAGACGCAGAGACTGAGCAGGACCCTATCACCACTCCGCTCACTCTCTGCCCCCGCCCCAAACACCAGCCCCCCAATCCTCATTGACCTCAGCCTTGACTTTGTACACAGACACATCATAGCAAGGCTCAGTCGCAGTTGTGTCTCTTGTTAGGCGTTACCTTTTGGATTTCAGTTGCAACAAGGGAAAGATTCTGCTCAAAACACTGCTTCTGATACCAATTTATGAAGACTTATTTTATAATCTGCACAGTCTCAGAACCTTAAAGTCATGAACACAGGTCTCAGGGTTGATGTAGTGAAGGCAGAGTACACTATCACAACTTTCTAGGAATCATAAAAGAATTTGATGATGCAGATTAAGAGATGGTCTTACCAGTCGACACTGAGAGATCGTCTTCTGTAGGATTGAGGTCTGTCCGTGGAAGTCTTGTCTGTTTTGGCCACACGCTCCTTGAGGGACAAGCGATGGGTAAATTTGGAGATCCCTGATTCTGACCTTGGGGACAGAAGGAGGAAAAAACTGATCAAAAAGAGTTCATGTTTTAGAGGGGGTTAGGGTTTGGGTTACCTTAGGGCTAGGGGTTAGGGATATGCAATGGATTCCTGGCCCACTACATAGACAAACCTCTATAAACCTTTTGTGTTCCAACATATTTTCCTTTCATACATTATTAATTCTTACATATGAGTTCAAGAGCAGTTAACACCAGCGCCTTCTTTCTCAGCTCTCTGACATTTGTGTTGTGGGTTTATCTTCTACAGTACCACGGAAATTCTCCCTGCCAAAAACTAAAAATGCTCAGCTAAGGTTAATATTACTGGAGAAAACGGATGTCTCCGTAAAATGGATCCTCTTATGCCTAAAACTACACTCAGTTTTGCAGAAATCACAATACTCGGTGGAAATGTAGTCCATGAAGTTGATAAACAGTGTAACAATGCTGCAGTTCCCTGAGGAAACATTAGGTTTCAGGGAAAGCCGCATACTTCCTGCCTAATTTTCTCCAAATCTTTTTCACAGAAAAAAAAAGTGAAGTCACACACATTTTAATCTCCTCTACTGGGCTGCCAATGTCCCAGTTCAACTTTTCGCTCAAAATTAAAAACAGGAAATGTAATATTTCTTCCGTTCCAGCCCGGGACACATTTGATGAGACTCAGCATTGCAATATTGCTGTGGTAACAGTGGGGACTAATCAAAATGTAATAATATTCTCTATCAAGAAGCCAGGCTCGCAGCAGAACTTTGCCGGAGCACGGAAGAGTATGTGATGTAAAAATTCACAAGACTTGTTAAAGGTCCGGTGAGTAGGATTTAGGGGGATATATTGGCAAAAATGGAATATCACATAATAAGTATGTTTTTTTCTTCAGTGTATAATCACCTAAAAGTAGAAACTGTTGCGCTTTCGTTATCTTAGAGTGAGCTGTTTACATTTATATAGCGAGCCGGTCGTCATCTATGGAGATTGCCATGATGTTCCGCCATGTTTCTACAGTAACCCAACCTGGACAAACCAAACACTGGCTCTATATATTTGTCTTTTTGCGATGGCCACTGTAATTTGCAGTCCCTCTGCAGCGAGAGAATTTGTTTAAAGTGTTATTTATTTTATGTGAAACTGTTTTATACAGTGTTTTAACCAGCTTAAATCACCAAATCATCAAAGGAAGAGACAATGTGGATAATTGGCTGCCGGTCAAAACCTCCTTAATGGCTGGATCTTAACTTATCAGAGAAAAAAAGGTGAGCACATTGGTTTCAATCACCTGGTCCACTTGTTTTGGAGAGAAGGCCTCTTTGGATAGTTTGGCTCCTAGTTAAAAATGCCTGACCAATGAACAATGAAGGAATTCTAACCAGAAGTTACAGCTTATTGCAGTCTACAATTCTCACCACTAGATGTCACTAATTCCCCCTAAATCTTACACACTGTTCCTTTAAACAAGGGTTTATATAAATGTACCCAAAGTGTACAAAATACAAATCTGTGGATAAGTAAAAGGACAGACAAAGCACTGCAGGGGAAAAAAAAACAAAAATCTAAAATACGTAATTGAAGGATTTTCCTACTGGTGTTGCCATGAACTTTTTTTTTTCAAAATGACAGAGGGTTACATAAAATGATGCCCAAACATTGCACAGCATTCTTTGCTCACCTAATCTAACACACATGTCGTTTCCATTTCATTATGAAATGATAAAACATCCTTAATAATGACTCACATGTACACGCACACGTACATATATCTCCTCTCAACCTGAGCCAAAAAGTGTTTTAGTCTCCATGGTGAGCTCTGCTGGAGACACGCTGCAGGGATGGTTGATTGAGGACAGCACAGACTACTGGGGTGCACCCTGCCACTCAAAAACAAAGCTTGTATCTGCCATTGCTGTTGTTAGTTTATGTAAGTTGCTGCAGGAATAACAGCTCACATAAGGCTTTGATAAAACGGGATTGATGAAATCGAACACAATAGCTCACGTCGTTATTTTAATCACTGACCAGTGACATGGATGAATGACAGTGTGGTGATGCGTCCAGTTGCGTGTAACTCAATTGCCAAATTGGCATAATGTCGTATCACATGCTCAATGTTTTGGCATCCTGATGCAGAGGTCTGACAGGACCTTGAATAAGTAATTCATATGCTCTTGTCCAGGGGAGTGCTTTACTTCAGAAAGAGGACAGACAGTCTGCGAGTGTCCTGTCAAGTCTAATGCTTCTACAAGAGACTGATCAGATCTGAGAGAATGATTCAATTGGATGGAGACATTTATTGCATCGCAGAATTTTAAACGTTGCCACAGGTGTGAGTTAAAGACTGCCGTGACCTTGGAAATTAAAGTGAAGCCCTTCTTAAAGTTACAGATCCATGCCAGCTGAGCTTTCTGCTACCTTGCTTGGAACATTCTCTCCTCTTTTCCAAACTGATATAAAAATAAAACGTCTCGTAATAAGATTGCTTCATTGCCAAAATTCTATTTCATCCCTCTCTCAAAACGGGCAGAGTCCACATCCTTGACAGGCATCATAAATCAACATTCTATGAACACCAAGTTATAAAAACAAAACAAAAAAGTGACAAATGAAGAGTACATTTTAATATTAGATAAACCTTTTACAGAGTAATCATGGGCATGAAATCAAAGCACCGACATTACCATCACACTTTCCAAAAAGCTTTTCTAGCTATATAAAACTGGGAAGTATTTTCTCCTTGTAGCATATTCTCTCATGCTACAAAGACATATTCATCATGAGACCAGTTGTTGCACTATAAAGACGCTGCCCTAAGCTGAGATGAAAATACATGAGTTTTCATTCAAAATGACCTCATGCTATGGCTTATCTAGTAGAACAAACCCCCAGTCCCACTGCTTTCGTTCCCACTCCTACACCCTCAACTACTGTTTCCTGACCCTACGCCAGCTTCTCCAAAGAGTTGGTTGACCTCTAAGACAAAGAGGCATATTTTCCTGTATGAATCACACAAACGGGGTGTGGGATTTTAGTCAGATGGCGGAGCAACCCCTAATTGATGGTATTAAGTTAGGCTGGGCTTCTTCTTCTTCAAGGGCTTTTAATTAAATTAGTAGCACTGCCCTGTGCACGCCAGCTACTGCCAACCATTGATGCTAATGTCCCTTTCCATAAACTGCGTATTTCACTGGTCCGAGAATATCTGATTCATAAATAGACTACAGGGGTGATTGGTTTGGATCATCATTGGTTGTAAATAATTGCCTTGGTTTATATCTCTAATATGTTTGGCCTATGCCCAATAGTTACATTAAGAGTTCCCTGTAAAACTTCAAACAAACTTTTGGATCAAACGCATGACACAACACGACCATAGGATAATGACTTCAATGCCATGAAAACACACAGGATCATGACTTCAAAGACACGGGGGCCAGTGGACATAGAAGAGGACTCAGGGAATCCCTTTGAGGGGTTTAGAGGACAAATGGACATGCGAAGCAGGTGGGTCTCAGCGGAGGGGATCTGCTGGCAACTGGCTGCCTCTTGGCTCCCTGAGAGCCTCGACCCCTGGCTCCGCCCCATGCAGCTGTCCCCGATAACATCATCACAGCAGGCACACTGTGATGATGCAATCCCCTTGGAGGCCCACTCAGGATATCCCAGTCGATTATCCTCTCATCAGAATTATATTTTCTCTTTCATTTTCCTGGTGTTGATTACGGCTTAAGAAACCAGTGATTGATTGTTTTTCCTTATAGTACAGAGGCAACGATGTGACCTTGAAGCCATGTGATCCCATACACTCACAACCGACAAAGCTTTTCACCTATACCACCACCAGGAAAGTGCATACATACTGTGAGAGGCAGCCAATGCTTAGGCACCTGCCAGTCTGCCCTGAAACATCCTACAGAGCCAATGTAGGCATACCTGTATGTGCCCGTCCCTAGTTGTTTCCAATCTCACATATCTGCAACCTTTCCTTGCTCTCAATGAACGCAGACAAAGGCTATTAAGCCATTCAGACCACATGGAGAATGGACGCCGATCTCTTGCTGAGCGAAGCTGCACAGCATGTGAGCACACTGGACAGCAGCTATGCAGTGGAAGCTTTCTTTTTCCATCTCTTTTCTATTTGTCTCTGATGTATAAGGCTGGTAATTACAGAAATACAATGTAAAAACACCTTCTGAGAACTTATCTTTATTCTTAATTTTACATGGGATGTCATTTTTAAAGTTATTTTACTGGTATCTGTTGTTAAGGTTGACCATTCCTGATTTTAAGTGAGATGTAACGAGTATCATTAATACACAAAACCAGCTTGAAAATGAAGGTAATCTGAAACGATTGCATTAGAGTCAATAGAGGACAGCTGTGTTGTTGTCGGACCCTGGTCTGAGCTGACCCAGTGCTACGTGATGATTGGCCAGTCTGCGTCATGGTCATGATCATGCTACCACTAAGGTGCTACACACGGTAAACAATACTCCATAAACATCAGTATGTTAGCTTGTCATTGCGAGCATGTTTTTATGTTAACATTAGCATTTAGCTCATAACACTGCTGTTGCTCAAGTACAGCAACAGAGAGCTTGTAGCGTGACTGTAGACTCTTAAAATATACCCAACAAGTAAAGATAACTATTTTTATTACAATGTTAACCACACAGAAAGAAACAAAACAGGATACTTTATTTTCACAGTGGTTGGTTACATAAAATCACATGTTTTATAGACACAGTGTCTACAAGATACGATAAGTGTTCCTAATATATCCCTCCAATGTGAAAGCCCACCACTGCCTCACTGCAATGTGACTTAGATTATGATCTTGCCAGCATTAGTAACTTTCCCCAATCCTGCAGGACAAGAGTGCTTTTGTCAGCGCTGAATGGCTTGTGTGGTGATACGGAGAAAACGTTGACCTGCGCTCGCATACACACACTTTCACACTGTCACTGCGAAGGATCGCTTTCTCGCAAACAGCTCACCTAATGTCACTTTC